TTTCATTTTTTTCTCTATTTGCCGCGATCAGAGAATTTGGATGTGGTTCTGACAGTGACATCTGAGCCGCACTCCATATTTTATTTCATGAAATTTATTCCAGGGACGAGCGATACTGCTGATCAATCAGTCATTTCTTTAGCCGATTCTGCTAGTAATTTTGGAGACCATGTCGGAGACGAATTTGATGAAGTTGAAACGATAGAAAGCGAAAATAATTTGCCTACGGATCTTCAGGTTCGATTACAAGACTTCCTAGAGCTTTTGCTTTTATAGAGATTACAAATGGTAGTAAACAAGTGCTTTCCAACCTTTCCTGTTGGTACTAAAAATTTACTTTTTTGAGATACTTTCTTGTTTCCAGAGTCGGATTTTCAACGGGTGGATGTTTGATAGGAAACGACCGTCAAATATACAACTTCCCAAAGATACTGGTCAGTCTCGCCTTACTGTACCTACTTTTTCCAGATATTTTTCGTTTACGATCGTTTTTAGTTACCATTCTAAATTTCCCCAAAAATGTGCCGATACCTCCTTGCCCAGAAGGGATTGATCCAAAAAGTTGGAAACAAGCCTTTGAGGAAGCGACAGTTTATCTGATAGGAACAGCTCATTTCAGGTATTGTTAAAATATGGTCATTTTTTTCATTTAACTTTCAACTTTTTTCATTTTTCATTTTTTTTTTTGTAACTTTGCAGCCGGGAGTCTCAAGACGACGTTATCAAGACTATCACAGCTACTCAACCAGATCTTGTCATGGTTGAGCTTTGCCCTAGCAGAATATCAATATTATCAATGGACGAGCAGACTTTGTTGAAAGAAGCCAGTGATCTCAACACTCAAAAGATTCTTACTACTATCAAACAGGTACAAAACAAATTCATATCTCTTTTTTCTTCTGTTTTCCATTTTTGGAGGTTTAGTTGATGTCTTTTCAGAGCGGCGTTGTGCAAGGAGTCTTGCATGTTTTGTTACTTTCAATGTCAGCTCACATCACTAGAGAGCTTTCAATGGCACCTGGTGGAGAATTCCGAGCTGCTCATAAAGCAGTGATGCAGACACAGGTAATCTTATCAAGTTTGTTTCAAGTTTCATCTTGCGTTTTGGAAGAACCTATTTTTGAGTTTCATCCTGTCGTTATTGACATGTCTGTTCTTTTTCTTCTAATAAGGGGAAGATACTTGGTCGAAGTGGCTTTTCCATATGAAAGTATACTGCTTTATAGGTATGAAGAGCTGATCCCTGCAGGGTGAAGAGTTACGAGAATTTTCTGAAGCAAAAATTCAAGGGTGTAGCTAAGGTAAAACAAGGTATTGAGGTCTTCCCTGCGTTCGAAGGGAATAATGGCTAGCATCAGTTTTTTGGACGGAACGTATCAACTGCATAAAGCGCCTTGGCAGTAGTCACGGCCCCATTTGCCGTCAACTACAGATCCAAACGATTTTATCGTAGCCACTCGTTCAGCATTGCTTTGAAAAGTTCCCAGATCGATCCCATCCCGTTGCTGATATCAAAAACAGACTTGATAGGTTCCATGCTCTGACGGCATGAATTTTTTTTGGAAACGTCATTTTGACCACCTATCCTTCATGTTGTATCAATTTGGAACCTTTTGACATCATCGAATTTTTTCAACTTAAACCTCACTATGCCTTCATGTGTATAAAATCAATCTGTTTTTGCTCTGTAAACACTGATGGGTAGGCCCTTGAAACTGCTTCCAACCTAAACAATCATTGGAACTTGATTATCGTACTAGATTGTTGCCATGGGAATCTAGGAGCGCAAATGAACTGACAGGTGACGAACCTGAGTATCCAGTTTATCAAGCTGCTTATGTTATGCTTATCGGCCAAAAGCTTGCTTCTTTGCTTCTTTTCAATGATAGCATTGTATAGTTCCTTACATTTCATCCATTTTATCTCGTTTTGGTCGCTTAATCACAACCGTAAAGTGATTTGATGCGCTCATCAGAAGAGGAGGGTTTTCTTCAAAAAAGGGCAGTGCCCAGTAAGAGAGGCTATGCTTCTGCTCGTATCGATTGTATCGGTGGGGTTTCTAACCAAGGGAGTAGTAAAATTTCCATATGAGAGTACACGTCATGCATCACTGTAGTTTTAGGCTCATCAGTACCCTTGATTTTGCTCGAATATTCCATCTCAAAAATCGCTCAATAATTTTTGTCTGAAAATAGGATAGGATGCTGCGCAAATTATGATAGTGCATATGCCCTTTTGTAAATTGTACTTTTTTGTGTACAGGGCAATTGAAGTTCTTTTTTTTCTGTTGTTCGCGAGTCATCTGCAAACTTCTTGTTCAACTGGCTTATCTTCCAGCTCTGCCGGTTGGTGTTAGGAGACCGACCCATCCATGTCACTCTTCAACGTGCTTTGGGATCACTCAATCTCTGGCAAAAAATCAAGTTCTTCTGGCATGTGGCGTTGTCCCATAATACTTCGATAACAGCTGAAGAGGTATCTGATTTACCTGGGACTGCGTCCTCTATCGGTATATGCCATGATTTAGGTTGAAAAATGTAAACAGAAAGATTTGCTCGAACAACTGCTTGCGGAGATGGCCGGTGACTTTCCTAAACTTAGCAAAGTAAGAGTTCTTTTTTCTTTTTTTGGTATAATTCAGTCTATGATTTGGTTTTCCACAGATTTTCGTTGATGAGCGAGATGCTTACATGACCCACGCTTTGCACTCTCTCTTGATAAAGAATACGCTTGAGAAACGGCTGTCATGGGAGCGTACGGATGTGGACTGGCAACCTCTCAGGGTAAGTTATGGTCGATCAGGTTAACTTAGGTAGGTGCCAGACTAGCTGCTTGCCTGCTTGTGCAACAGAACGCGCGCAGAATTAACGGAGGTAGCGATTTGGCATCACGTCGGGCGGAAATTACGGCGTTCGCCGCAACGACTACATTTTTTTCTGCATGTGTTTTTTACGAGATGAGGTAGAGGATAAAACACTTGCAAAATAAAAACGTAGTTGTTGCGGCGGAAGCCGCTTTAAT